AAAAGGGCCGTTTGTTTTGAATATTTTCAGGGTTTTTGATGACGTCGTCGATACGAGGCGTACGTAAAACCTAGGGTTCGTATAACTGGGGTATGTAAAAATGAGGTTCTACTGTACTTTAAAAAACATATATATTTTGAGAAAAACCCCCCTTTGTGGAAAAAATTGTTTGGAAGATACCATTATTTATTTATTTATTATTTATTATTTAGTTTGAGATGGTCAGAATGACAAAGAGAACATGAAGAGGCGAGGGATTCATTAAAAACGAAAAAATGTTTAAAATCCAAGTCATAATAGCCAGAGAAACATTAAAAAAAAAAAAACAAAAGATCAATTAAGTCCCTTCAAAAGGAAAGAGGAAGTAAATTAAGATAAATAAGGCGTTCTCTATAGTTGTAAGCAGGGTAGTTAAGAATGTAAGCGGAAGCTCGGCGCTGCAATCATTCGATGAGCATGAGGTTAGATTTTGTTGAAAAAACGCATATTCTAGGTCACTACGGATAAGAGATGTGAAAAGTGGTTTAGTGACATACACTGGTGCAGTATAACCAATCGCACGCTTAATTAGGCCGAGCTTTGATTAAATAAAAAATATTATGTCTATGTTTCAAATATTTTTGTCCTTTTAAGTTGTATATAAATTTAATATAATGTATAACATATTATGGGTGTTTTGTATTACCAAGCATGTTTAATGTGAAATAAGTTATAAATTATTATATCAAGTGGGGGTTGCCATGCCAGAACCAGAATCAGTGGCCAAAACAAGGTTATTGCCTTTTTGGTATATTCACATACTATTGCCAAAGTTATGAGTAAAAGTATTAGCTTCTCTGTAGGCCTATTACTGTACTATTTTTAGTATGCTAACTCAGTTTATCATTTAGCAGCAGTTACTGGTTTAAAATGGCAAGCCTCAAGTATTCATATATTCATCTTTAAAATGTTACCTTTGTTGTCTTGTTCATGTTCCTCTTCACTTTCTTTTTCACCATTGTCATTACCATCTTTATCATCATCATCACTGTTATCTTCCTCCTCATCATCATCATCAACATCTTCCTTATCTTCACTTAGGTTTTCCATTGGTTGTTCTTACAAAATGGATCAAAAATAGAACAGGTATTAGTCAATGCTATTTTTAATATCATTAATATAAACAGATATGAGTGTGTGTATGGATTCACTCTAGACAATCATTGTTGTTGAATGTAGTTAGGATTCAAAGTATTGACAATATTAAACATTGCTTATTCTTCAAAATTCTGAAAATTTACACAAAGAGAGTGAACATATTTCTAAAATTTAAAAATTCAATGAATGTCACATGGAAACTCATAAAATATTTGTTGGTTTGAGCCAGAAGGACTGCACCAGAGAACCTATGCAGAATAAAATTACTTTTAATAATAAATATTTTTAATTGGCATTGAAGAATACAATTTGCTAGGAAAGAAAATAGGAAATTAGCCTGAAAAAAACAAATTTGCACGCTTTCCTCTTACACCACAAAAATACGAAAATTGGGAGATCAGTAAGATAACAAACAATACATTGATAAAAATAATCAAAAGTCGAAGATCACAAATAAACAATCAAATAAAAATAAGTAAGCAATAAACAGTTAATAAGAGTGTAATTGATTAATTCACTGAAACTTAGACTGCTCCATTCGACTAGGCTCCGCCTTGTAGATTTGGGCAGCCCATCTCTAAATCATGAAATAATTTTTCCATTGTACTAATTAATGTTTACTTCCTATCATTTTGATTCGTTTTTTTTAAATACTTTTTTTATACTTGATTGCTTTTTTATCTTTTCTTTGTATTATGTGAAATGTTGCTTGTTCTTAAGCAAGAATTAGAAAACAAAGAGCCTTATAGACAAAAAAGAGCAATTGAAATGTTTTCCTTTTGATTAATGAGAAACTCTGTAGATGAATCCAGTGATGTTTACACTGACGACACCTCTGAGATTGTTTTATAAATCAAAAATTAATAATACCTTCTGTTAGAGCTTCTACTGCCTTTGCGAAGTATTTAATGAATGCCTCCATCTTTTTTTCACAAAGTATCTGACGCTGCTCTAGATCCATAATCAAATCCCAGCCGTTTGCTGCATTTTCCTTTGCAACACTATATAGTGCACTGATCTGTTTTATTTGATAGGAGGTCAGTGTCGTTCCCAGATTTAAAAGTTTTTGCCGATGCAGGGGGAATTTTGTGATTACAATGTTCCTGGGAATTTGTAGTGATGGATATCGCTCTTTAATTAAATGTTCCAGACCAAATAGTTGCGTAAATTAATAGTTTCATAGAGGAGAGTTATGAGTCTTGTAGCACTATTTTGTATGCGCTGTAGTTTTAAAATTTGAAAATTAAAAACACCGTAAAAATATATACAGAATATTCCCAATTAAGTTTAAAAATGATTGTAAAAGTTTACTCAAAAGTTTCAAGAATTTTGAACAATTGTGACCATGTTTCTAAAATTAGGAAACTAATAAAATTTTGGGGTTGGTTTGAACCTTAGTTAATAAATGGTGTAATACGTTGTTTTTTTTTTTTTTTCCAGATTACATGCCAAGGAACAAAAATGCAGAATAACTTTTAAATAAGGATTAGATAGAATTCAGTGAGTTTACACTGAAGACACCTAGGATTGTTTTATGAATTGGTCATAAAATTAATAATACCTTTTGTTAGAGCTCCTACTGCGTATACGAAACCATTTATCCTCAACGTTTCAATGAATGCCTGCATCCCTTCTTCGCAGATTTTCATGCTCTGTTATAGATTCATAATCAAACTCCAACTATCTGGTGCATATTTTTTTGGAATATTATACAGTCCACAAATCTGTTCTACTTGATCTTGAGTCAGTACCATTCCCAGATTTATAAGTCTTTGCCGGTGCATTGTAAATTGTGTGATTAAAATATTCTTGATATCTTTTGGTATTTGGATTGATCGATGTCGATATTTAATTTGGTGTTCCAGACCAAATTGTTGTGTTAACTTAATAGTTTCATAGAGGAGAGTGAGATTGATAAACTTTGTCATCACAATAATACTGTAAAGTGCTAGTTGCCACTGTATTCTGTTAATTATTTTTTTCATAGTTTATGTATTTTAATGTATTGTTTGAGCCACATGCCTATGATAAATATAGTAAACTCAATTTAATAATCAGGTCTTAATTATGTGAAATTTGTTTATGTTAAAAAATGTTATTCATTACTTATTTGATGTTATTTGAAAAAATATGCATATAATGATTTTTAATGACCAGTTTTGATACAGAATTTTATCATTGGCGCCATTTTTACCACCTGTCATTTGGGGCCATTTTTACCAAGGCAATTCTCACCGGGGCCATTTTTACCGGGCCATTCTTTCCTACATTCTTTTTTTAAAACAAAAACAGAACTGGAGAAATATTGTGTGATACGAAGTTTACGCATGCACAGATGACGTATGCTTTTCTACAGTTAAATTACAGAAAAATAATTATAACAACTTCAAGGAAACTTGTGTTTTATAGCATGAATTAATTTTACAAGTCTTTTTTCTAAAATTATAGCGGTATCGATATTCTCTATAACGGTACAACCCACCGGGATCCAGACATCAAACAGCAAGTTTCACCAGCCAACATGTGTTTTGTTGCGATCTCGTAAATGAAACTGCTCATGTGACCTAGAGGGCCGACCTCCCAAAAAGTAGTTTGTTATTGTTTTGAGCAAAGCGGTTTTAAACAGAAATGTGTTTCAAGATTGTTTATGAGTGAGCGTAATTATGAAAATAATAATTTAGACAACCCAAACCATTGCTTGAAAATGTCATAGAAAATGTAGTAGGAATCCTAGTACAGCACTGAAGTGAGTATATAATACAAATACCGTACTCGCACGAATAAGTGCCCTATCGAATAAGTGCCCCTCATAACGAGAAAATTTCCTTAAGTGCCCCGTTTGAATAAGCGCCCCCTTCTAATTTGAATAAACGCCCCCTCAATAACCCAATCAATCCTGGGACTGTGGATGTTGGCATGATTTGAGGTGTGAAGTGGAATCACATTCTCCTTTAGTCAATATCAAAGTGAGGATATTTATCTTTGACAGAATGATGAGAGCTCCCTGGACTGAGACAGTATATTTCCAACTTTCATCTTCTTTCATTTGTTTATAGCCTAGTCCTATTACTCCTTTTCCGACAATTTGCACCTTTAACACATTCTCATCTAAGTTTTCAAGAAAACCTGCAATGATCATGCCGACCTGTTATTCTCAATCGACCGATGGCGAACAAACTAACCACCACCACTAATTTCATCTGCTATTCTGCTGTTATGTAATACTGTACTCACAACATTCTTGTCATGACAAGCCATGCTCTCTGGACGATTATCTTTTCCGCCGCAGCACCATTCGTAATTTGCCCTGATGTCCTTATTTAATCGTTTTTCATTCAAAATGTGCCTCTTGGATTTAATAAGTTCTCATAAGAACCCCTCGATTTTCATCTATTTCCATAAGCGCCCCCTCAATTTTCACTCTGTTTTATAAGTGTCTCGTCCCATTTGAATAAGCGCCCCTCAAAAAGTGCAAAAAATATTTCATCTCTCATTTCATCTATCTAAATTGGCTTAAGTGAAATCATTTTGCAATACAGTCAGCTTGAAAGGGAAATGATCATTTTATTAGAATAATAAACCTTCCATATTCTTCAAAATTGTAAAAGTTTACTAAAAAAGCTGCAAGAATTTTGATCAATTGTGAACATGTTTCTAAAATTGGGAAATTCAATGGATTTCACATGAAAAATAATGAAATTTTGGGGTTGGTTTGAGCCAGAAAGGCCCTATATTTAATGATGTTATGTTTTTTTTTTGTTTTTTTTTAAATATTAAATGCCAGTTAACAAAAATGCAGAATAACTTTTAAGCAAGGATTAGATAGAATCCAGTGATGTTTACACTGAAGACCTAAGATTGTTTTATAAATTGATCTTAAAATTAATAGTACCTTCTGTTAGAACTTCTACTGCCTTTGGGAAGCCATTTTCCTTCAATGTTTTAATGAATGCCTCCATCTTTCCTTCACAGATTATCATACTCTGCTCTAGAGCCATTATGAAACTCCATCTATCTGCTGCATGTTTCTTTGCAATGTTATACAGTACACCAATCTGTTCTACTTCATCTGGAGTCATTACCATTCCCAGATTTATAAGTCTTTGCCTATGCTGCGTAAATTCTGTTATAACAATGTTCCTGATATCTTCTGGTATTTGGAATGATGGATGTTTTTCTTTAATTAACTGTTGCAGACCAAATTGTTGTGTTACCTTAATAGTTTCATAGAGGAGAATGAGATTGGTTGAAGTCAGATGTCCACTACCAGCCAGTATCGTTAAGATGTCAATTGTTTTAGAACACTTTTGTACTTCATAATTATTTTTTATATGGTCCCTGTACAGAGCTTTCAACATACTTACTCCATCACTATAACCATCAAACCAATTTGACACTGTCAACATAAGACTTCTGAAATTTGCATCAGCTATATATATAAATTAAAAAAATATATATAATCATCAAATACACTGGTGTTACCATTTAACTATGAGGCACCTCTATTTGGTTTTTTTTTTTCGTACTAAATGTAATTTTAAACCTTATAAATTTATTAATTTTACTTTGAACTTTCTTTTGACTAATTCAGTTTTATGTATATTTAGGCCTATATTCCTTATATTTCTTCATATATACGAGTAGTTTGTGTGCACTAAGTGAAATCTACCTTTTGCAATACAATCAGCTTGAAAGGGAAATGATCATTTTATAAGATGCAAAAATAGTGAGCATAAAAGATGACAAAAATGTATTGTTTACCTGTACTAAATGCCATGTTGTCATGAACAGCTGCTGATTTAATGCTGCGAGATTTATTCTCACTTATTCCTGAAATAAAATTATGATAATTCTTTTAAATCTATGTCCATAAGAATATGACATTAATGTATTTTATTGCTTTAAAAAAAAATCCTAAATATCTTGGTAACATACAATGTCACTGTTGGTATTTTTGGTAATGAAGCACTGGTTTTAAATGTGAAATGTCAGAAATGGAGCTGATTCACACTAAACTATTATACACAGTGAAAAACAATGTATATTCTTACACCATGTCTCAATTGAAGTCAAAGTACGTAATTCTGTCCTCTTGTATTTATTTTTAGATCCCAGGACTCTATCCAAATACTGTATAGCTTAAACATGGATATTCATGAATGTGAATATGCTATCTAGGCCAACATACAACACATCTACATTACTTATAAATCAATATACTTACCGCCAGATTTGTTTTTCGGTTAAGCTCGAGATATTTTGTATTCTGTTCTGGAATGTACGATTCTTTCTGGTTATATTTTTTATAAAATTATTTGACAAGCCCTCGGTGGTTTTGGTGTTGCATCATTAGTGCTATTATGTACATTATATGCTTGGCTAAAAAAAGTCAATGAGGTTTTTGGTGCACCTCATAGCTAGCTGGGTTCACATGACTACTTATAAAATATATCAACTATGACCATACCTTTACAAATGAGAGAATTTATCTTAGTTTGTGTTTAGTTATTCTTGAATATGTATCTATTTGTTAAACAAAGTGCCTCCCACCGCACCCTCTATTATCAATTATCTATTTATCTGAATCTATATCCAATTGGAGTATGCTTTCCTTCCAATCTGTGGGTTCTATAGGCTCAAATCTGATCACAGTAACATGTTTTTTCTTGCGACCAAATTAATCACCATCATAATGAGACTTTAGATTTGGAGATAAGCCATGCTAGAGTTAAGCCTGATTCAATGTTAAGCCCCCGCAGCGATTAAAGCCTGGCTGAGAAAAATTAAATACTTTGACACGTCAGGCCTAGTTACTATAAGAACACAGCTCGTGTTTCGTACAGGTCATTCCATTCATAGAAAAAGCCTTTAATGGTGAAAGCGTACCTGTCATTAGCCGTAGTAGCCTAGGTCAATACATAACACCGGCTGTATAAAATTTATTATAAGTTTGAAAATGTTAATCTTATTATTGCAGTAGTGTACACTATGTACAGGGTTTAGTTATTGTTATTTATTCGTTAATGTTATCATATTAATATATAAATTTAATGTATTGTTTAAGTATGAATTACTATGTTCATGTTAAATTAATTTTATCTATTAAAATTGTATATTTAAATAATATAGTAATAGGCACTGATAGCCGAGGTCTAGCCTAGACCAGTCCTAAAACAAATGAATATGTGAGTGTATAAAACTATGAAAAATATGAAGAAAAAAACGCAAAATTGTGAAAGAATAAAGGAATCTTGAGTAGATTTCCTGTTTGATAAATCGAAACAGTACTGGGTTTGGTCTGCAGGAGCTCGTGTTTCGTACAGGTCTTTCCATTCGTAGAAAAAGCCTTTAATGGTGAATACGTACCTGTCATTAGCCATAGTAGCCTAGGTCAATACATAACACCGGCTATATAAAAATTTATTATAAGATTGAAAATGTTAATTTTATTATGATAGTAATTATTATATCCATATTTAAAATTATTGTTTTATACTTTGTTAATTCTTAATAATAATATAATTTTAGATATATATAAATTTATTTTATATTATATTGTTTAAATAACAGTACTAAATTTATGTTAAAGGGACGGAAATGGAATATTCTTTCGATTAAAGATTGACAAAGATTGAAATATATTAAATATAGATAGTTTATATAAATGTTTATTTTTACACACCAGTTAAATATGCAATTTTGTATCGAAATGATATATTTAAAATATTTAAATTATGAGTTAATATGTATTTAGTAAAATAAAAAATAAAAAATTAAAAATGGAAATAAGAAAACGGCATAGGAAGAAGGAAGAAAAGGAAAGAAACTTGGAGTGGCTGACATATTTTCCGAAAATAAACAATAATAATCATATTGTCATTATTGCATCACGTTTTTGTGAAATTTTGTTGGCACTAATCGTCAGAGGTCAAGGTGCCGGCAGCCTACACGTTTCATGTATTTGACATCGAATACAAAATCAGATTGCATTCTAGTCAAAATCCAAATGTACCAGTATGTTATTTTTCATACCGGCCGCATTGTTGTAGTACCCTCTCTTCAAAAGAATTCCTATTCCTGTATTTTAACAAAGTTAAAATAACCATAATTCAAAGTTTCTTATATACTGGTCATATGTATGCAAATTTATTTAAACTTTAATCAGTGAGATTAAGCCTGTCGATAGAATACCCGATCGGCAGTGGAGGGCTTGATTAAAGAGCATGCACACATACACTTGGAAGCACTGCTTCCATTCCAATGTTAAATTGGCTATTCTGACGCCATCTCACGGTTGTCACAATAACAAATTTAGGGTATGTGTGATAGTTAGTATTGGTGGTGTTTAAGGTGATAGTATAGTGTTAATGGTGGTAGGTCATGGTTAGTATTGGTGATGATTAGTGGCTTTTAAATTGATACCTTTTTTTCCTAAAACATTTACATGTTACATCACTTTATTTGCCATAAATTAATTCAAAATTCCAAGAGAACGAACTGTCATGCAAGTTTCAAACTGTCTTGTAAATCTCAAAACACAGCCTATTTATTAAACCAATTACAGTATATTAATTAAACTAAAGACTAGATGAAATTCTTCAAAGTTCCAAAAGAACAGTTATCTTATCAATGTTATAAAGTAAAGTATAGATTTATTTATTTATTTGAACATACACCTTCGGAACGGTGGCACTCAATGGAATTGGTGTGTTCACAAAAGCAAGTCAAATAGAATAAAAATGTAATACAAAAAGGGTTAATTAATTAGAAATAACTTTGTACTACAGCATTCACAAAAAATATACTGATAATGGAACAAAATAAATTCAGTTTTTCAAGAATGCATTTATCTACTACTGTACAAAGTAATTTTTCAATAATTTTACTAACTAGAGCAGGTAGAGGGAGAACTGAAATTCGGTGGTAGTTGCCAGGATTTTCTTTTGATCCGTTATTGAAAATTTGTTTGAACTCTGGCATGCTTAAATAGGCTAGAAAACTTATAGTTGTTAAAAAAAAAATGTAACAGTATTGAAATATAGCGGGTGCAGCAATTTTTTGCAGGCAGCTAATTTTCAGCCACAAGTTTATAATGTTTACTTTATCAACTGTATTACAGTACCTTTGTCTTGCACTCTCATTTATATTCCTTGGTGTCAAATTCTTTAATTAAACTAATGAGTAATTGTAAAATAACAATTATGAAAATACAGTATATCATTTGTTAAGTTATTTAATATATCTAAAGTACCTAAAAAATGAAATATTTACCTTTAGTTTAACCACACACAGCACATACAAAGTGTCTCAGTGGAATGTGTGGGTTTTTCCCAGGTTTACTTTAGTCATGTGACCTGGTATAGGCTTGTGCTTGTTTCTTTGTGTGTGCAATCAAGCGTGACTTACAGTAATGTTGAACTGCTGTAAAGTTCAATACACATTATCCAGGTCAAGATTTGAGTACTATTTGAAAACAATTTACAAATGTGGGAATACCGGGGTTGTTAAGTCATTGTGCATTCAATTCTTCAGAGACATATTTTGAAAAACAATTTTTTTTTGTTTTTCTTAGATAATCACTGTCAATGTGGAGTTTTATTCCTTTTATTTTCTTAATCACTTTTCCTTCCTTTTGTTTTCCTTCTCTCTTCCCTAAATTCTTCCTTTCTCTTTTTCTTTCTCTTCCTCACTGTCCATCTCCTCTAATCCTTCCTTCCCTATTTGCTGTCAATGTCTTCTCTATTTCTCTTCTGCATTCATATTTTGCATTATCTCTACTTTATATCCTTTTTACTATTGATCTATTTAATCTCCATCTCTTCTTATTTGCTTCTTTTTCTGTATTTTCATTCATGTTCTTAATGCTCTCTTCCTTTCTTTATTTTTTTTCTTAATGCATTTAACTAATTTCTTTCCTGTTTTTTAATTTGATTGGAAGTCCTGCACACACTATCCAACAGCCTCATTCACATTTTGCATAATCAATTTTAACACAATAAAAATAATATTTATTATTATTTTTGTGCATTAAATTATTGTTTGTTGTTTTAACTGTTTTAATATTTAATTGTTTTGTATAAAGTTAAAAAAAAAACTATAAGTGTAATTAATTATATAAATTGATCAAGGTCTTATGTGTTTGTATTTTAAATTTTTATTTAGGTTAATCAACCGAATAGTCAGAATAATAGCCAGATATTCATGAAGAAAATTCAGCTACAGATACCAAGTCATATGGCAGAGATCTACATGGAGGGGTGCCTGGCCATATGGAGTGCCACATTCATTTCACAAGTATGTTGTAGATCATGCTTTTTTTAGTGTACTGTACATTGTTACTGATATTTTTATTGTAATTTTGAAATACTGATCTATTGTCAAATGTATTTTCATCCTGTAATTGACACGTATGCTGTTGGGTCAATATGAAATAAAAATTAAGATAATATAAATAAATTTTATTTCAATCTTAGCAATTGTGACAATGCAATATTTTTAGTATATACACTTCCTATACACATTTTAGATCTCTTTAAATAAACAAGATCTTGTGTATAAATTCTGTAAAACATCCTCCTGTCCTTAATTCTTTTTATACCTAGTCTAATTTAGAACCCTGTATAACTACCATCTTTGACACACACACACACAAACATTTTTGACCAAAATAAATAAACTAATTCTTAATTGTGATAAAAACTAATCATAAATGTCCAATGACTAACTACTATCAGATGATCTAAAATGTTATTCTAAAATATTGTTTCTAAATTACCTGAAGCATTACTGTTTTTTACATTTATTTACTAAAAGCTCATACTGGCTCCCATGAGCATAATAAACTACACAATACAAATGAATAAACATAATTCAAAGGAATGTTTTCTAGGATATATATTACAAAATCACGCTAATGATACATTTAAAGATATCATGATATAAAATAAAAATGTTAGATTAGTTATTTATTTATTACAAATTTAAGATTATTTTGACTGTTGGTCAATTCTTAGCCTGACTTGAGTTGATTCAACATATTAAAATAATGCAATTTGTTTGTTATATTGAATAGATGTAGATGGTAAATAAAAATTAAATCTATAAGTCTGGCTTGCTTGCGTAATACTACCTGTTACTATTTATAAATCATAATTTAATACACAAATGAAGATGCAATGAGTCTGATTCAATGCATGTTACTGATCATTTAATATTTAATATAAATGTTTATTGGTATTCATAATATGTTGTGTACAAATTGGATGAATATGCAACATAAGCATGTAAGGGCAGTAGACTATAGTATCAATATCAAGTATAAGCAAAGAGTATAAATAGAACAAGAGAGCCAGCAACGCTCATTGAGAGCGTAAAAAACGATACGCTCTACGCAGCTAGTGTAGGAAGCCAGCTAACGCTTGTATGTTTTTTATTACCCAGTACTCCACCGCGCACGGTCGGTTTGTCTGTTTATCTGTTCTCCACAAGATACTGTACTTTTGTTTTCTGCTTACTGAGTTTATAGCGGGCGTGCTTCTACCGCGCTGCGCAGCGCTGCACTGGGTAATAAAAAGAACATACAACCGTTAGTGGGCGTCCTGCACAGGCGTGACGTTTTTACGAATGGGACTTTGCTCTCTTGTTCTATTTATACTCTTTGGTATAAGTTAAAGAGTTTATATATAGTAGTTAGGTCTCCACAACTGCAACTTTATGTGGATGATATGAAATATAAGATGTAGGTATTCATACACTGTACATCTGTATATTTAAATTTGGTGAGAACACACAACAATAGTAGGCCTGTGGACTCAATAATTAGTAATTAAATATTTGTACTGTTTTGCAACTATAATTTGCTACTGCAACTCTTCTTGGATGATATGAAATGATAGATATACCCTGTGGAAATTTGATTCCATCTTCTGGCTTATCGATTCTTTTAATGAAATGCCCTTCACTACTGAATAGTTGTATTTTGTGTTGACTTGATATAAGGATGTTGTCATCCTCATCGACAACTACTCCACGGGGCCCAATCACCTTACCATTTTCATCACCTTTTGTGACAAGGAGTCTCATAAACCTTCCCTCATTATCAAATAGTTGTAGTCTACTGTTACAATACCCTAATACAAGGATATATCCTCCATAAAGTGTAATATCAGTGGCTCTACTCAGTTGACCTTGATTTCCTCCTATCCTTCTTAACATCTTGCCACTGTCACTGTCAAACGTGAACACACAGTCATGAGTATCTGCTACATACACAGTATTTGATGCCCTATCTACATGGATACCAACCGGATTCTGCAATACTTCCTCACCAATTGATTTGATCACCTGACCATTCATATCACATATTTTGATGCATTTATTACCCGAATCACTGAAAGCTATGTTACCATTATTTATTTTGAACATTCTGTAAACTTTAACACCTTGTGGTAGACTAACCTTACCAATATATTCTCCTGATTGCCTGTACTTGAGAATTTCATTTGTTTCACATGAAACCAGAAAGCAATCATCTTTGTACTTAACTATATCTCTACCATTTATTTGGTTAATATTAATGGTATTTACTAATCCTTCCTTCTCTACTTTGATCATCATTGGGGACTCCTTAATTGGTTCATCATTAACCCTAACATCAAGTTTGCAAACACCTGGACTTGTGAATTTTCCTCTCACAAGATAATTTCCTTTGTCATCCTCTTCAACTTGTGTGATGTTGGTTTCTCCTGTAGGATGTGTCCATGTTGCTTTCAGTTGACTTGCATGCATTTCACATTCATCTGTTTTGATTACTTTGACAATAACTGTCTGACCTTGGATCACATACTCCTCTCCCTCTAATGTTAGGCAGTCTGCCCTCACTTGTGTAACATTTCCAATATCAATTTGTTGCAATGAAGTAAGCTGTTGTTTGTTTATTAAGAATCTAATGTATCCATTGTCATCAGGCTCTGTTTTTGGCAATTCATTGATTCTGTCCTTCAGTGCTGTAATTACTCTTTCACTTGATTGCATTGCTGTAACTTCATCACTCTTTAGTAACTGATTAAGAAAAAACAGTTTTGTATTTATATCTGATATTGTTGTTCCTAATTCATCCATTTGTGCATCGTTTACCTTTTTTTTCTTTTTGTATATTGTCTCTACTTCATTTTTAATTTTGTCTCCATTCTCCTTAATTTTCCTAACCAATTCTTGCACATGATTGTCAATATCTTTCATAATTATATCTTTACTTTGTCCTAATTTTGTAGCAATCTGAGTTACTGCTTTAAGGCCATCTTGTAATTTGTTTTTGCAGTCATTGGCAGCTTTCTCCAATTCTGCTGAAGTTTCTTTAAATGTTTGAAATGCTTTAGAAATGCTGATTGGTTTGTGTTTTCCTTCCCATGCATTGTGGTCCATAATCGTACAATTAACACAGACTGGAGTTGTACAATTTACACAGTAAAACTCCAAAGGTTTACTGTGAAGCAAACACTGCGGTGGATGTAATGAAGCTTTCTGTATTGGGCTCATTAATCGCAAATCCTCCACTGAATGTAGCTTGTGATTTGCAAAGAGTCGAAAATCATTATGATATTCACTACAGGTAGAACACAAGTACTGTTTGCAATCCTGGCAGTAATATATTGCTGCTTCTCTTTTTTTACAAGCACATGTTATCTGATCTTTTCCAGAAAATTGTTCAATGGTTTCTAATAAGTTGTTTAGAAAGGTATTTGGTGGAAGCTTCTGAAGCCCACTCTCTGGAATGGGATATGATTTTGAACAAGTTGGGCAAATAAGCTCTCCCTTAGTTTTAACGCAGTCTTCCAAACATGCCAAACAGAAACTATGAAGGCAGTTGAGGGATTTAGGATTTTGAAGTCTCTTGAAGCATATGGTACACTCTAGGACCTTCTCATCAACATTTTCTAGAAACTGATTCAGCTCACTGTTAGCCATCTTGAAGTAATATTCTGTGAATTATAAATAATTATTGTGTGATATAGTACTGTATAGTGTAATTAAGATAAAATAATGTCACGTTGATTGATTGATGGATTGATTGATACAAAATAATAATTATATTTGCTGATGATGGGCTAGAATTCGGTGGTGACGGTGGCGGACCATAGTGAGTGTTGGTGGTAGTAGGTCGATAATGATATGAAAATATTTTTAAAACTTAAATAATATTAAAAATTGAAATAGTTTCATCTAGTTTGCATATTGTAACTGTATAACTTAACAAAAGCTTACCTTAATTTTAACACTGAATATTACAAATTATTTGATAAAAATTAATAGAAAAACCCCAGCAGTAAAGACAACTTTTACCTATTTGTCAATAAGGCCATTTTAACATGGGAGGAATGGGGGTTAGAGACAATTTCTACTTGTTTTTTTAATTGCTGTCTGTTTTTCCCAGTTGATTTTTTCTGGGGGCCATTTTTGCCGCATTTTGAATGGACTTGTTTCAATATATTTGACTCTGGCAAAACCTGGATCCATTTGTCGCAGTTTATACAAGATACGAGATACAAGATTATAATTTTGCACAAGCACTCAAAATGTTTGAGAATCAGAATTTTGAACATTTTCAATTTTTTTTTTGCATTTGTATAAAAGATACACAAAATAACAATCACTTCATCTGACTAAAATGTATATTAAAATTATTTTAAAAATACGAATCTTGTAATAAACTATTGATTTTGGAATCATTGGAAGTTGTATTTTGAAAACCTACATGGCTGATTCAATGAATTAAATACTCATAACTTCAGGATTTGGCCTTTTTTGGACGATAAAAAAGAAAGAAAGAAAAAAGAAAGGATAGAAAGAAAAAAATGGTTCGCCCAAAATGTCTCAGATGTTTTTTGGGTGTCTAGAACACAAATATTTCACAGGGGCATGACCCCGGACTCACTAGGGTAGTGTTATCTCGATCGGCCCAAATTCCCCCCCACCCACCTTCTAAACTTTATGTATTCAACCAATTTCCAACAAATAAACACTAGGAATTCATGCAGAAT